ACAGCTTAGCCATTGCTAGCTCACGCTGCATAGGTGTTCACATAAAGGAGGAAAATGTACGTCACCAGCTACTTAGATGACGAGTTCTATGCATGTCACACGGATTATTTTGAAATATTTTCCTTAAGGCACAGTTTGGCGAGCTTCTGTGTTCTCCCGACTTCGCCGTGGCAATGACGGCTGCGCAACGTTTCGATGCTGCCCCACTTACTGATCAGGTCAGCTCGAATTTTGGACAGATGCCCATGTTTGGGCTCTTATAGTTGGCTATGTTAGGGCATTTGAATTCTGTCCAGAACATTGAAGTGTTTAAATATGGACTATGTCCGAGCAGTTAGGTATCTGTCGTACTTTATCTTGGGTGTATTTCTAATTTCGAAGAATTCTGCGTTACATAGATTAACCAATATGCAAAATGGGGACATTAGGTCACTCTTACAGTTGCGTAAACGTGTGCAAAGTCTAACTGTCGGTCCCACCCACTTCAGACGAAATAATCGCAAAAGTTTACCGCATCTGCTGTAATGTGTCCAGAGGTACACGATTTCAGGTCCGGTTGATTCCCAGTTTAGCTCGAGCTTTTCTGTATTCCCTCGACTCTATTCCACAATCTTATGTTGAAATAATAGTTGGGATATGGACTAGGCTCGAGAACGTAGTTCCGCGTATGCTTTATGAGGTATGTCAATGGATGGCGTTCGCTTTTCCTTTCTATTTGAAGCTATTTCAGTATTGCACCTCGAATTGGTCATCATCAATCACTCCAAGCCAATGCTACAGACATCCATGCCTCTTGTTTAGATGTGACAGGTGATCGTACTAATTTAGATTTTATTAAATTAATATGTTTTTGATGCTGTTGTCCAGGCGTATATTCTCATCACCAGCACACTTTGCCTGTTTTCTAAGAATGGTTTCGTTCTACGACCAAGCTTGTCGCATACAACTAATGTCACAAGTGCAGAACTCGTCATCAACGAAGTGAGCAAGCCATTTTGTCGAAGTATCATTTAGTACAGATATTGATCTCTGATTTGTTTTCCTTTTTGCTTTGGAGCGTAGATCATTGCAATGTTGGTGATATTTGTAGTGAGGAGGATCGTGCTTCGCGAGATGTCTTAGCACACGCATTTGATCACTCCCAAACTTCTGTTCTAGTGCAAAGTTTTAATTGAAATCAGTGACCGCGAACGAGGAGAACGATGGTGGATACATGCGTTTCTGACTATCGCGGAATTTTTCTACCCGTACATTATATTCAACCACTGAACTAGCAGTGCAATAGCCCTTCGAGTAGATTCAGAACTTCGCTTCGCCGAATTCATCCATCAGATGTTCATTCAAGACAAGAACTTGATGAAGCTTGTACTTTTCCAGGTGAGGTTTACAGCAAGGCGAAGGATTATGTGCGCGTGACATTCTGCTCCATTTTTAACATTATGTAGGGAATTCACGCGTACTTTTTTTCTCATAAATATTTGCTTATTGCGATTTATTATTTTTCAGAAACACTTATCTAAAGTTAAGCGTGATTGATCAGAGAGACTGTTGCCGAGGTTGCGCGACTAGCATAGCGTTGGATTTAGTGTTCAATGATTTGTTCGAGATTTACATTTTCTCTGGTGCCGTTCAGAAAACTGCAAAGCAGCAAAAAGGGGATATCACTATATTGAATCAAACCCAAAGGAGATTGGGAACGGTCTATCATCACCTGATGGGTGCGGAATTATTAAGAGTAGGGATGACCAAAAAGTTGATCGGTCAGCCCTCGAAATAATAGTGGCGATCACAGAAAGAAACCCTCTTGAAAGCCTCTTAAACTCCGGCCAAAGACGCATGCGAACGAGAGTTTATCGTTTATCAAACATTTGATTTTCTACCTTTACGGCAAAACACGATTAAGAGGGAAAATATAACCGACTGCGGGTTTTTTTTTCGGGTGCGGCGATCCAATGTTTTCCTATAGTTTCACAAATAAAAGCCTATAGTTTGAGTGGCGTTAACTCGAAATCCCTTCACTCTTCCGCAACCGCATTCTCAAGAACATCTTAAAAAACTATACGCGAGTAACCCACTTCCTTGCAAATTGATTGTTGGGCTGTAATCGCTGTCTTCGGATCCTCATTCCCGTCCATCAACAATCAGGCGAAACGATCTAATAGAAAAAGTAATTCTCAAGCAACTGCTGCATTTGACAAAATAGACAATACCAATACCTCTTCTTCCCAGTGGCCCTACATAATACACACGATCGAAATCCACTTCTTCCGAGACCATATCCGCTTTTCTTGACAATGATTGTTGGCCGCTAAAGACACCCGAATTTAACCCATTGCCTTTATGAAGACTACTCTAAAGGAATGGAAATGGAAAAATTGGTGTCTTTCGAAAGAAACGTCTGAAATCTCAAACAAATTAGGCGCTCAGCACCACCGCCGCACCATCGAGTCGAAAACTAGTGGAGGCCTGTACCAGAAATGATGGCAGCCTCTGAGGAACTTTTTTTGCAATCATAAAATGCTTTGCTTAGTTTTTCACCAAATTACCCATTATTTCAACTTTTGTCGGTTTGTGCAATCTATGTTGTCTGGCTGCTTTTTATTCGTATTTTTCGCCTCGCTATACTTGTTCGAGTATGAAGTATTTCATCATTTTTTGCCCCAGCGGTACTATATTCTTTGGGTGAGTCTCTTTTCAAGGAGAGATATTTTGTATTGTGAACGCTGGAATGCGTCTTGACCCGGTCAGAGTCTCGACTACGGTGTTACAGACTTGGCCCATCGATATGATCCGTCCGCTCGTCGAGCAACATACCATCAATGTTTGCAAACGGAAACTATATCAAGAAAGTTGCCGTTAACCCAACACTGAAAGGCTATCTTTGCGGTAGTTCTTAACTGCTGAAGTGTGGTCGAAAGCTGTGTTTTTGAGATTCAATAGATTCTCAGACTATACTAGTTTGGACCGTCCTGATTATTGTTTGTCACCGTAAGTACTGGAGCATGTACTTTAAGATCCCCAAAACGCCTTCGAACCACAAGGCTCCAACATTTGTAAATAAGTGAGAAGTTTGTAAATAAGTGAAAAGCAATGAAAAACAATTTCAGTATCGTTTGCCCGAATCCGCTGTTTCATTGAATATGGTGATTGATACCTTGAACAGCCTGTTGAAGTTCACTCAAATGCCAGGGAATCACGCCCTTTTTACAGCGATAACGCCGTCTTTAGGACATATTGTACCGGTATGTTTCAGTGGACATGTGTCAGCGTAGTATCTTCCGCCGTCAGGTTTTCTATTTTAAGGTCTTCCCACAGCTTGCACCTTTGGTTTCTGCGCTTATGCTTCGAATCTCGTCAGTAACTCGTGCACAATTGGCGATGAACTGTCTTGATGCTCGCCCACAAGGCAGTCGAGAGAGGCGGCTAGTTAATGCTGTTGAACGTGTTCTCAGCTCACGGGTGTTCACCACGGATTGAATATCGATAGTCATTGTTGAGAAAAATTGTGCGATCTCTATGCGAGTATTTCTCAGTTCATCTTCGAGCTTATGGAGACATCAACCATGCCATTGCTCGACGCTTTGTTCAGTCTGAGCCAGGAAATACCATTTCGAGAAAATGACCATGACAGTGCGACCTCTCTTCGGCTGAGGTTTTGGTATGCCCTCCTCCCGTGATGAATACGACCTCTATGTACTTCCCTCTCCCGCAACTTGCAATGGTCGATGGTTTATTAGTGTCGTTGAACCTAGTCGACCTGTACATAGAATTTCTCAAAATTGCCATCGTCGAGCGGGGGGAAAGGGCACATGATTTTGTTACCCCACTATTTTATTTTCCCAACTGCTATCTACGCTCTTGCCAAAATCCCAAATACCTTGTCTGTCATCGAAACAAGTAATACGCACTGCAACACAATGTCATCGAAATGCTGGTGAATCTCGGTTTTTAATAGATATTGAAGTCTCATCGCCGATATTCACATTTAATTACCTTTTATCTTTGAACACTGAGCATACACGGGTTTACATAAGTGTTACATAGTATCTGTTCTCTATTGTTTATTCAACAACGTCATAAAGATTCAAAATCATGGTGTCATATTGTCTGCATAAAATTGCATCGTTAATCTGTTACAGTACTAAATAACATACTGCGCTCTATTCAAAACTAGTGCGAATATATAGAGGAGAAAAAAAACAGTCCACCAGCAATGGAAAAAAATTCATTTGCCTTTAATTCAATGTTCCTGAGACGAACATTTTATGATGCAGCCGCCGGCTTAGGTAATGTATTAGGTATCAGAGCTATCTTACGAGATCCATTGGTGGCAACCACAGATTCTTATTGGGGCTTTTAACAGCAACAACACCTAATCTACTATCCGCTATTGACAACAAATAATGCGAGTCTCCTGTTGAAATGACACTTGCTATCACGTAATCTCCAGGAAGCATGCAATCCCGCACTTTGAACTGCTGAAAAGTAACCATTCTACGGGGAGTGTCGCAATGATTTTGGAAAACGACATTGAGCATGACCCAGACACAATCATAGTTCACAAAATTATATTAATTGCGGACAAGCTAATTCGAATCGCAGATCTTATTTAATTGTAAGGCTCACAAATCCTAATGATTACAATCGATCACGGTTTCCAGCAAGATAGCCATTGAACGTCAGACGCGCCAGGCGTTCAGTTTCTACGGGCAGCCCAACGAAGAAAGATCCTGATGCAGTTTATTTTGAGAGGCAAATTCGACGCGTTTTTGAATGAAACGTCAAGAAAAGTAATGTTTGCTTTCAACCAGCCCACGACATGACGTTCTTACTGTTTTACGTTTACTAGTGACTAATTTGACGCACTCAGACATAAAAGAGTTACTTGCTACGCATTAGAGACAAGATGCTATCGGAAAAGCACTACAACGCGTGTGTTAGTACTAGCAAAGGTAGGAACGAGGTGAAAAGGTCGTCATAAGGGCGGAGTTACAATAGAAATTCACTCATTTCTGAGAAATTAATGGTGCACAAAAACAAAGCAGATACATTGAACTATTCGCCTTCCGGTCTGTAGACAGCCTTTGCCAGGAAACACCAGTCATGAAAATCACCCTACTAGAGTGCCAGGGCCTTGCAAAATGATATGCAGCAACTGCAAATCTTTTCTTTTATCGCTGTTATCTGCGCCCTCTCGCCTCATACTCTCCTCTCCACGATCATTCTCTCATTACCCTAGCACAGCCTAGTGCGAAAGTGCGTAGATCCTTAAAGCGCTTTCGACGGATTCTTCCCCTTTTTTCTTCACTGCCGTCCATTTCGCACTAATACATTCCTATTCCCAGGATGGAACTGGTGTGCAAGAACCACACCAATTCGATCTGAGGCTATGGGTTCAAACCCAGCTATTGAAGATCAAATATGGTTTCAGTTCAATAAATGGATACAGCGCAATGCTGTTAATGAGATCTATAAACCCACGTCTAATTTAACATCTGTTCGCATATCTTCTTTTCGTATAACCGCGCTGAATGAGAGTCCTTGTTGCAAGTCGGTGTCTTCAATACGAAACACTGTACACTTTGCGTTCCTAAAAGTTTCAAATAAGAGAAGATCTAATCGAAAGTGGTGTTGGAACATACTTGTCACTGATTTCCACAACTTTCGCTGTAACAATAGCTCCAATGAAGGGAACTTGATATGTGAACGTGCCGTCGTGGTTCAAAACTTCAACAACTTTTGCTGTTTTATTGCTCTGAATAGAGATTGGATCAACGATGTTGTAAAAATCAAACTCAGCACTACTTGAAAACATCCCAAAGTCAGCCCCACTTTGACTTTGACTTGAAATCGCCCTTAGCTAATACGCTCCTTAGCTAATAATGTGACTCGAGAAGGATTTTAAGCGGCTCAAATTAACCCAATCTTCGGTAGATAAGCCCTAGCTGTCTCAGTACAAACATCTTCGGTCGTTTAGCGTACTTACGTACACCCAAAGGCCACCGTACTTTGGCCATTTAGGTAATTCGATGCCCTGATTACGAGAAATGACATTCATTTTTAGCGGTGGCGCCGGTTGTCAGTTTTGTCACGACCCCTATTTTCACCGAATTCGGTGTAAACTTTTGTATAGTGGTTATTTGGAGCCCTGATTACGAAAGCGACATTCGTTTTGGCATTAGCGTTGTTCAATGCATATTTCCGATCTATCAGGGGAGGGCGCAGACGAGCAGAAAATAGGCGTCAAATGAGCGCCAGCGCCAAGAATGAATGTCATATTCGTAATCAGGACACCAAATAACCCCTATACGGAAGTTTACACCAATTTGGTGAAAACAAGGGTCGTGACAAGGTGACGCCAACTGGCGCCAGATGGCGCCACTAAAAATGAATGTCATTTTCGTAATCAGGGCATCGAATTACCCTATAGGCAAAGTTACGGTAGTTGTAGGTATGCAAGTACACTGCACGAGCGGAGCTGTTTTTACGTGAAATTGGCTAGGGCTTATCCACTGAAATAAGGGTAATATCAACCACCATCACAGACGATGGAAAGCGATATTGTAGCACACGGAAAACCCGCAGCGGAGCCCAAAGACCCAGAAACTTTTGGCGCTATTCCAATATTACTGCCCCAAATCTCAAAATTTTATTTTTCGTCGAAACTTTGCCTATAGGGGTAATTCGATGCCCTGATTACGAATATGACATTCATTTTTGATGCTGGCGCCATTTGGCGCCAGTTGGCGCCACCTTGTCACGACGGCTGTTTTCACCAAATTCGATGTAAACTTGTGTGTATGGCTTATTTGGTGTCCTGATTACAATGACGTTTGTTTTTGGCATTGGCGCTGTCTAACGAATATTTTCTGCTTTCCTGGACTCTCACTTGTCTAAGTGCCTATATGTAAGCTTGTTGGAAGGGAAACTTCTTGGATGGTAAACTGCGGCATTATAATGGGGCAAAAAGATGGTTGTGTAACAATCACAATGCCTGGTGAGCTTAATTACTCACCCTGCCTCTTTCAAATGTTTAGTGGCCGTTCCATGACTGTATCAAATCCAGTGAGAGAGGCTCCGAGACTTTTTTCGACCTATTGGGGCGCGGCCACGCTACACCAAAGTGAGAAAGTCTCGGAGCCACTGAGAGGGCGAAGACGAGCAGAAAATAGGCGCAAAATTGCGCCAGCTAAAAACAATTTTATATTCGTAATCAGAACACTAAATAACCCCAACATACAAGTTTACAGCGATGGTGAAAGCAGTCGTCGTGACAAAGTATCACCAAATGGAGCCAGTGTCAGAAATGAATCGCATTTGTAATCAAGGCATCCATTAATTCTATGGGCGAAGTTTCGACGACAAATAAAATTTTAAGATTTTGGGAAACAGTAGCAGCGCAGTACGCTCCTCCGGTGATACCTTAGTTGGGGGGGGGGGGTGAGGCACGCGGCGGTGCAGCGCTCTATTCGTCTGCACCTCCAAGGCTTAGTCTTCGCTCCCACCGTACTTCGAACTGCCTCGCAGCGGCGATGATAACGGCACTTCAAAGGCCGTATTCAATCCTTCCCGCAAGGGATGCGTCCCCTCCTCTAATTCAATCCTTGCGGGAAAAAAGGGGTTGCGTCATAGACTGCATACCTTTTGCGTTTCTGTCTACTAGAGCAGCGCGACCCCTCAGGAAAAGAGTGCTTCAACAGTGGAGGGTAGTAGCGCTGCTCTAACTGTCTGGCAGGTAGAAACACAGAGGTATGCTAGGTCCTATGACGCAACCCTTTTTTGTCCCCCCAGAGGATTGAATCAGAGGAGGGGGATATATCCCCCTGGGGGAAGGATTGAATACCGCCCCAACTAAACGTTTGGGACGGCAGGACGAACAACGCCGCCGCCGCCGCGTAGACGCCCCCTTTGAGTAACCGTTAGGCACCCCACCACTGTATTATAACTTCAGTCCGGTACCATTCGTACCTAGTAAGTAGCTGCCCTCACCCCCCACCCCCTAGACTGCCTACACTCCCCTGGCGCACAGGTTTCTCGATGTACGGGACCCCGTGAGCCAGGGGGTGTGAAGGCAGTCTAGGGGGTGGGGGGTGAGGGCAGCTACTTACTAGGTACGAATGGTACCGGACTGAAGTTATAATACAGTGCAGCAATTACCTACCCAATATCCACGGGAAGCAACAGCTTTATTCGTTCTAAGCACCAAACAAAAACAGGGGGGTTTCACTCACAAATTCCTCAGAAATCAAAGAAAACCAAGAAATAGAAGGTATAAGCAAGATTTCAGAATCATAACTTACAGTCGAGTCAGTCTCCTCGGTTAAAAGACGTATCCTACTCGAGCAGCGCGGATGTATCCCGTAATTCATAAACTCCACGTCCACACTCGTAACCTTCTCCTGAATTCATAGTTTTTATGCAAGTATTTTTGCATTTTCTTCAATATCGTTTTTAAACCGACTACTTCAAAGTAGCAAATGACTTCCTCGTCATGTCATGTAATGTTACTGGCCACTAGAATTTCATTTTTGGCGACTATTGTCATGTATTCATGTCACATTCAAAGGGATCCAGAGCGACTATAATGGCGTCACCTTGAAATCACCGATTCTAAATTTTTTGAAAAAACATTCGATATCACCTCTTTTTCCAAATTTTCGATAATAAAGAAGAAGTGTAATGATGGACCTAATAGCAAGTTACAACGGTGTAAGGTTTTTTTTTGAAAACAAATAAAATTGACTCACTTTATACTATAGAGGGCATCGCCTGGAATAACAGCCCGTACAGCAGTGCCAACGAAGTCCGCCGTCATCCGCTATTATCACACACAGAAGTAGCAAACCTAATTGTTTCAGAGCCGCTCGACTCAACTGGATTGTAGAGTGAACCGATTTAAAATGCAGGCAGCCAGCGATGTGCGGTTCGTAGCGTACGCAACGCTACCATAACCTCAACACAAAGATATTATATCCTCCCGTTTGATTTTAAACGAGAAAGTGTCGGGTGCAGACCATGCACCACAAGTGACGACGGCCTTCACAAAATGTTAATGTTTTCTGCCAATGAAATGATTAGCCTGTTGCAGTTGTATTCTATCGATTGTCACTAATTACAACTATCATTTACCAGAAATCAGCTATCACTATGAACAACTTCTAACCAGATTTACTTGGAGGCCGTCGTCAGTG